GCACGGAACGTGCCGCATTGTCACAACGAAACCTGGAAGAGCGGCCTTTCAGAGCATTTTTAAACACCATTTGGGTAGCTGCTGCAAACACGCTTGCAGGTTACACACTTCACCATAAATCATTGTGTGGGTGGCAGGCATTCAAGGTACCATTCTTCAAAGAAGTACACACTAGCAAGGAACCTTGTGAAATTTTTTTTGTGCTGTGGCTGTCAGCGATGAATTATGCCAAACTTTATAATCTCCACAATACCCCACAGTGCGTATGCGCCAAAGTTAATCTGCGAACAAGATCAAGCTTTTGTAAAGGGTTGTAGCATTCGAGGACCCACTCGTTGCACAATTCGTATGATGCGACACCTGGTCGTTCCTTCGCTGTTTTGAAACACTATTACTTATATTAACCCAATTCCTTTGACGACATCAAGCCTGCCTAAGGCCACTTTGCAAAGGAGTTCCAAGCACCGCCGTTGCTCAGAGGTAGAATGGTAGGCTGGCACACAGGGTGCCCGGGTTCAAATCCCATTGTGTTCTCAGCGTTTTATGTACAGTTTTTTTTTTCTTGTTTCCTGCTACAGTGGCTATGGACACTGGCGGCGCAGCTGCAGTGGACAACTACAGCACGCACATGAATAATGTTGTGACCTCGTAACAGCTTTCGCTGTGAAAAGTCGTATAGTAAAGTAGTGTAATTTTGAGAGATATAGGGTATTTCCCTCAAATTGGTTTCCTCAACTCAACACATTCCATGGGTGTTCTCTATAGTTCGTGGTGACAAAGATTTAGATAAAATTGCCTTTTTTTGCAAAAATCTGTTCTCCTGCAAGCTTTTTCTTTAACCAAAAGCTCTTGTTCATAGACCACTTTTCTCACCCTTCATGCTTTCCCCCGTCCAGTCCAGTAAAGATACATTAAAACTAGAAATACTGGTAAAAAATTTCTATGCAATCATCACGCTTCATAGCCACCTCTTAGTCCACATATGTTGACCGGGAAAGCTGTTATTGGGGAGACACTTTTAGTGTAATAGGCAGAGTCGTTAAACACCAAGCCTGAGAAACCCTGCCCTTGAATGAGAGTTTTTAGAAACAATGCAAGAAAGCCAACTGGAAAACTTTCCAAATAGTCAATGAGTGCCAGCTTTTGCGAAGCTGACAGCAAGAATATCCTTAATCTGCTTTTACACATCTGACATGACCTCTTGGTAGATACATGTGCTGCATAATTGCATCAGAATTAACCCTGTGAAGGATAAACAAGGATATACAATAAAGGTGTCTCCATAACACTGTGCTTTATGCCCTATCTTTTACACCTGATAACGTACACAACATCTACATCAAAGGGGAGTAGTTGAAAGCCAAAAATCTGCATATATAAACTTTAACCATTGTGGTTGCAAACTAAAGGAAATTGACCTGGTTGATGCATTCGCCCAGGCTAAAGCAAAATTAAGCTTGATAAACAACAGTGTTTCACATGCTAAACTTCGTTTTACCTTAGACATTTTCCTGCATTAAAAACAAATGTTTTTAACAGGTAGCCTCAAGAACCCTATAAAACATGCACACACAGCATACATTACATGAAGATGCAAATCGAAAGAAAGCAAAGTTCACACATTCACAAATTCATGTCTAGCAGATGGAAAGTTCCACAGGTTCCTCAAGCAGCGAAGAGTTATATCGAATTTCCTTAGAGATGTCATAATATTGGGCCCACAAGATAAACATAGGACAATGTGAATATTACAGCCTTAGAGAAGAACCTGTAATCATTCAAGCTACAAATAAATCACCTAGCATGCAGTACTTTGAAAATTTGCATCATGCCATGCTCAAGAATATTTAAGGGCCTTCTGCCTATGCCTATTTTCTTTTCGTAGAATGAACCCACGCAAATGATAAGACATAGTTCCGTCACTGATCTCCAGCTTTACTATTGAAGCAAAATTAGTTTACCACAGTTCTGGGATATAAAAAAATGCATTTGTGCATTATGTTGCTGTAATAGCGAAGCTGCAGCACCCCGACAGGAGGACTGTGAAGCCAGACACCAAGCTAAATACAGATGTATGGCAGCACATCCTCTGCAGTTCCCATGCTATCCCAACAAGAATATCAATGTAAATACGGATCAACTCATGTTTACTGGCAAATACAGACAACTGCATGTTTTAGGGAGTGTTCTAATGTAAAAAAAAACACCAAATAAATATGTATTTTGAAATGCTCACGCACCATTTTCTCGAATAATCAATCTTCCACACAACGATGAAAATTGACCACTGAAAGAAAGCTCTACCAATGATGACATGTTTGGCCAGTCAGTCACTTGAAGAGTGTGCATGCTTTTACTGGGAAAGTAGCTGCACTATGAAAGACTGCCAAGCTGCCCAGACAGTTTTCCATGAATTTCAACTACCAAATAATTACAATCACATAAAGTGTGAGAAGATGTTAATGCTTTTGCAAGATAGAAAGTTGGCGAGTTTTCACTTTAAACCCAGTTTGAGACAACAGAAAAGTTTACAAGCAAGATATTTGACTGAATAATTTTATTTCCTTTCAACCATGTCATGTTTTGAATAGTCATTTAAATGACGATTAACCCAGACTATCAAACAAATAATGTGCTGTCGAAGTTGGCTACAATTTTCATGCAAGATTTTGCAACTGCCGCTTATACTCTACAGTTCAAATAGCTTTTTTTTCTTTTTGCTTAATAAATTGTTCAGCAAATAAAACAATACCTGGCAGTACGGAGATACTAACATAATTACACCCTCAAGCAGCTCTATGCCTTCCGTACTTTCAGATTCAAGCAGAACACTAATTTTGGAGGCGAGTGTATCAACAATCAAGGGCCCTATCCCTACATAAAATGTCACCAGCAACAGCACATAAAGCAAAGTTGCCGAGTAGATGTACGATGAGAAACGATTCCATGCCAATGATCCTAATTACTACTACATACAATTACTGATGCCGAAAATGACAGTGAATAATATCTGGGGTTTTACATCCCAAAAACACGACATGATTATGAGAGACGCCATAGTGGAGGGCTCCAGAAATTTTGATCATCTGGTGGTATTTAACGTACACTGACGTCGCACAGTACACGGGCCTATACCACTTTGCCTCCACCGAAATGTGACCCCCGCGGAAGGAATCGAACACGCTACCTTCGGATAAACAGCCGAGCACCATAACCGCTGCGGTCAGAAAATAATAGCTGTATATGTGACCGAGGTGTCACATAGCCAAAAGGTACAATAACAGCGCAAAGAATGATATGAATGCAAACCAACGTTATTACTATTTGGAAGCACCCAAGCATCAATTTGATTTTTTTTCATGCAAAAGTCTTTTTCCCGAGAAGAATTGAGATTTACACACGTAACCCGATGACTATAACGCCCAATTTATACTACTACATCGAGCGTTTCATTACCGACATTTTCGGTCGAAGAAAACTCATCGCGCACAACATTAACCTACTCATAGTTGATAACAACCTTTTTCAGTTCATACTAAAAAATTATCTGCCAATACGAAATGCCCTTAACGTGCGTATAGAAGTTATAAAGTAAAACCTAAGATATTTCGTTCAGTAAAGAAATAGCGCAGAATGATCAAGGTAGAAACATAGTTGATGTTTAAACACAAACGAACTCAGACATATGCAACAACACAGTGCGAAATGAATGCAGCGTATTTCATTAATTCTTATATTCCGGCATACGCGCCACCGAAAGCATTGCGATAGACCATACCTAATCCACGGGCTCCACTTGCGCGAAGTGACGATAGTTATAGTGCGAGAACAGAACGACAAAGGGACAAGAAGGACACGATGTCTCTTTGTCGTCGTTCTGTTCTGGCGCTATAACTACCGTCATGTCATACCAACTAGCCCAAACTGCCACACTTCTAAGTTGCGCGCAGTGTTTCACGTAGCTTTAGCTCCACAATGGTGGTTTCGGTTGTTCGAGCAAGCACGTGCTAGATGTCCATATCGCTGGCATTAGCTAAGAACGAATACAAGTAATCGTGTTTACATCTACTGCGACTTTCAAATCGAGTTGACCACACCTATATTTTCGTTAAAACAACGGAATGACATGATTTCATTAACCACAAATGTCACCTGAAGCGGAAGGTCTAACTCCTCGAAGTCAACCAATAAAAAGTGAGAAGTAGGTTATGCCGTGAACAGAAATAAAATGTCGCAACGCACGCTGAATTAGTACAGCAGTGTCAACACTCGAACTCTAATGGAAACTTACGAAAGCGTTGACCTTCGTGTGCAGCACGAAACGACGCAACACCTTGTGATGACAACGAATCGAAAACAATTCTGAACTATGTTAAACGCGCGCGTCCAATAACACGCACCTATGCGAATATGAAAGCATATAAATTTGTCTTACAGCAACATATCGCACCATGCAGTGTTTTCAATATAGCATCATGCCAACTTTATATCAACAGGTTCACTTTGAAGCAACAAAGGAAAAAAAAAAAAGGTTGGGGGGGGGGGGGGGGGGTCTTTACAGCGCTTTCCTAAACCGCTCCCTAGAAAACAAAATGGTGTACTTGGCGTGATTAGAGTGACATAGGCGCGAAGTTCACACTTGCATATACCCTTCGGTATTAGGGCAACTTCCACGATACAAAATCACAAGGCTGCCCGAGGTCCGCACAACGACGAAAAATGCTCAAGGAACGAGCTCGCATACGAAAGAGACACTCCCCGCAAGCTGGGCCAGAAAAAGAGCAGCTCTCTCACCAACGCTGAAGCAGCGACACGTATTAGGAAATGACAACAGATGGAAACAACGCTGCCGCGTGGTTCACAACTGCTGTCATCTACGTTTCGCACGACACACACTCGCCACAACACACACAAAATGTCGTCTGCTACGAACAAAGCGCAACAGGAGGAAAAAAAAAACGCACTGAGAATAGCGCGCGCGTTCCGAAATTCGCACTTACCGCAAAAAAGAAGTTAAATATGAACAGTAGGTTTTTAACACACGACATCCCACATCCTTGTACCATGTTTGCGCACTACTGGAGGCGGCTACAAACTTTAGCACAGCAGGTAACGCACAACAACGTAACGGCACAACCTCACGCTCCGCTGCTCGGGCTAAAATGGCAATACGCGTCCTCCTCCGCCGCGCCTTTGCCTGCGTGACGCGCACGTCACGAAAGGGCGCGCTGCTGCAAGTAGTGACAATTTGTGTGAACATTAAAAGCTATCTTTAGTAGATCTTGAAATAAATATTAAGTCCTAATTACACTACGACCTAACATAATATTATTTTGCTTCTTATTAACAAACTTTCATATCATCAGAGGGATTATATTTTTTCGCGCTATGATCGCGCGCGTCAAGTGGCAAGTAGTCCGTCGCGGTGGTTGTTGCGCGGCGCTGGTATGCGCGCAGCGCGTGGACGCTGGAGCACGCCCCTTTCGGCCATTCCGCGCGCTTCGCGCCCTCATTTTCATTTCCTATCTGAATGACGCGCTTACCGAAACAACGAGAGATGACGTTAGTGTTTACTCATCGTATTTACACGCTTGTGGATAGCCTCAACTTCAGGTATCTTGGAACTAGTATGGCGACACAAATGTTCGAGCCACGACATATTTATGGTTAGCATGGTGACAGTGGTGCATAACAGCACCTCTCCTCGCTCCCCCTCTCTTTCTTGCTTTTTTTTTGTGTGATTGTGCGCCTCAGTACCTGTTGAAACAATAGCGTTGAAGCGTTTTGAACGACGCTGCATTTCTACTGAACGCAGATGACACCATTCTTTTTATTTCCGAGAATGATTCATCTGAAATTATTGACAGAGCCGAAAGCGTACTTTCAGATGTGCGGTGGTGGTCTACCGCTAATTGCCTGCGAATAAATGGGGCAAAAAAAAGAACAACAAAAGCTGACTTTTTTTCAGATCTCGAGGTACGGAAATGAAACTTGACGAATCACAAACGCTTGACGGAATACCTGTGGAAATCGTAAAGAAGCAAAGTTCTTGGCGTGACTTTCTCCGCTCATACATATGTCATGTCATGTATGTCATGTCGAATCATTGATCAAATCATTATCGCGTGCTGCTGGTGTTCTGCCACGATGTCGGCATTTTCTTCCGGGAAAAATCTAAGGCGCAGATCTACCACGTTCTGTTTTCTTCGCACATAATTAAATACCACAACCTTGGCCAACATAATGACAATTCACTCATTGCAAAAAAAAAAAAGCACTGCGCTACATTGCAAATGTTCCACGCAGTATGACTGCAGGCTCTTTGTTCCACCGCTATAAAATGATTAGTATGAAACATATGCACAACTTTAGGCTAATTTATAACTACTTCTTTGCAAGTTGTCCGGGCTGATCACGCACCACATTGCTTTTCTTTTCCTGCTTATCAGTAATCTTGAAGCGGCCACACCGCAGCAACGAGTAAACGTATTGCATTTAAACATTTAAATTCTGAGGTTTGAAGTACCAAAACCACGATGTAATCAGAAGCCACACGAGCATGGAAGGCTCCAAACTACATTTCATCACCTGAGTACTTTTAACGTACATCTTAATCTGGTTTTACGATTGTTCTTGCACTCCAAAAACGTCCAAATGCGGACAAGAGTCCAACCCAAGACCTCGAACTTTACAGCTCAACACTTCAGCTGACAAGCTATAGAAGGGTGGCTCGTAGAGGAAAACCATGGTTCGCTACGCAAAGGCTCATTTTTCCGAAAAAAAAAAAAAAACAGGCAGTTGGTTACTCATGAATAATACTTGCCAACCATCAAGTTGGTAAGAACCTCTGTGTGAATTTCTCTCCTTGAGCAACTTAAAGATCACCTGTCCCTTGAAAACCCAATGTATTATTTGGTTGATAACACGATGTCTTCTCATTGTACAGCTTCCTCGGTGAGCACTGAACACTCGATCGCATGCATCTGTGATGCACCGGGATTGTTTTTTTTTTTTTCATTACCATTGAGCTCCAGATATTGCCATTTTCTTTGGTAATCCCACACGAGCTTCTAAGTGTACCCGACATTCATTTGGTAATCAATGGCATGACGCTTATCAAATAACGCTACTGGTTGCCGAACATGCTACTTGGCGAAAACAAAAATGCTGTGCCAGATTTTTCCCTCTTGGTTTATAATCAAGTACCACAGAGGTCACGGGGTTGAATCCCGGCTGCAGCGGCTGCATTTCCGATGGAGGCGGAAATGTTGTAGGCCCGTGTGCTCAGATTCGGGTGCACGCACGTTAAAGAAGCCCAGGTGGTCGAAATTTCCGCAGCCCTCCACGGTGTCTCTCTTAATCATATGGTGGTTTTGGGACGTGAAACTCCACATATCAATATCAATCAAGTACCACAAATAAAACGTGACTTCTATTCCGTGACAAACGAATATTCGGAGAGTGCATTACAAGGATAGAACAGCGGCAATTTTCCACTGCTTCTTAGCTTTACTCTGATTCTGCTAAAATCTACGTTTGGATATTTAGAGATAGTGAAGCTAGAGTGAGCCAAATGCGTTCTTTTTTTTTTTTTTTTTGCGCTCACGATTACCCGAGTTCTGGCTTCCAGGTGCATCGGCGGTGCACGCGTTCACGTTTTACAAAGATCGCCCGGGAAGCGAGTGCGACGATTTATATGGCATTTCTCAAAGCCTGCCGCAGACGGGGATTCCGTGACGCAGTGCGCTGACTCAGAAACTCCATTGTCGCTATGACGTCGGAGCGCCGCTAAAGGGCATCGTAGATAACTCCTGAGTGCGGTGGGCGTCCGGCAAAGAGAGAATGTGAAAGCAAAGAGGCCGCCCGTCGGCTTCGAGCACTTGCGAAAAGTAAACATTTGCAGCCGATGTCGTCGGCTAAAGGTGTGGGTCGCACAACAACGACACCAAGGTATGCCTGCGGTTGACACTCGTCGGCACGTGGGCCCGTGTCTGCCTTGCTTGTCGCACTACCGATATGGTGTATTTCCGCTGCGTCATTGAAAGCCACGCCTACAGCGCGATTCGCGTACATCCGCTGAAACTGGCGGAAAACGTTGGACGGTGACAAACCACAAAGCGGGGAGGGGAGGCTTAGCCGCTCTGGTGAAGCAAATGTAAGCCACCCAGCGCCTCCCATGATGTTCTCTGGGCTGCGCTAAATGGGCGTGCCCCCCAATGCACCGCCGATGCTTCCACGTCAGCTTTTGGACTTCCGCGCGCAGCCCTGCAAGACGGTGCTTTTAGTCTATAGAAAAAAGCCGACCCGTGGTGCACTTTGCTCCCTTCCTGTTGGCAGGTTATGGCTCAAAGTCTCTAGATTTTTCCCTTTTATTACTTCGTTTTACTTTTCAAGTTTTTTACGTGGGCGTAGTCAGGCTGATGATGACGATGATTTCGATGATGGTGATACGTATGTAGGGTTGCCACCGGTGGCTACTTTTTGCCAAATTGGCTACTTTACGACCCTGTCTCACAACACAAATCGCAGGTTGGCGTCATGGCTTCTTTCTGGTTACTCTTGTATTTTGGCGCATTAACTCGCCTTTTTTTTATCGTTTGGAGACACAATAGAATAATTAAGCCTAAAGAATTACCATTGTTGCAAGCTTTTATGTCGTGTGGGCCAGTCGTGATGATTTCCCCACGCCAGCGGGCTAGATGCACATCGAGATGTACTTAATGCGGTATACTTAAGACGCCTGGTTCTAATGCTGAAGCATAGCGCGTGAAAAAGAGATCAGCAACAAAATGAGCCCGACTTTTTATTGTCGATCAGATGTCACTTATTAAATCTGAATTGTTATGATAACGTTGTACCACTTTTATTTAGCGGCTTCAGACTTCTACGCAGGTGTGCTGCATTTATAATAGTTTACTTATTTCTTGCTTGGAGGCCAAACGGGAAGGAAAAATATTGCGCTCGTCATTCTTGGTTTTCGCTCATTTATTTTAGAATATTAATAATTGCCATGATCCTTAATATCGTCTCTTTTGTTTCGGCTACGAATTTGGCGCTAAAATCAATTGGCGTGGCTACATTTAGCTTGAAGTTTGGCTCCTTTTCAAATCTAGCCAACGGCAACACTGCAGATGTGATCTTTGTAATTTGTGTGTTTGCGAGCTAGGCATTGAAGTACTGTACTTACCTGCAATTCCTTTGACGTTAGGTGGGTACATGCAGGTTGTTGTGGGATCAGTGATGACATGTGTGTCTCTTGTGTGCTGTGCCTTTACATGTCATTCCCTTGGTTTTTTCTGCATATCATTTTATTGTATAAATAGCATGTGAGTGTGTGTCCTCCTCTACCCCTGCCATGATTCACTACGCCATATGATATTATTCTGGCGTGTTTGGGAGCGTACGAACGTGCAAGTGGTACATTGCGTGTAAATTGCATACACGTAAAGTGAATTCAGGAATTTGATTGATTGATTGATTGATTGAATGAATGAATGAATGAATGAATGAATGAATGGGGCTGAGAGCTCCAGTTGCAGTAGTGATAGCACTGTTGATGCACTTCCTCCTTGGCCTTTCTATTTCATCCGTTCGGAAGCAACTAAGTTGAATCGAGATATATACTTGTACCTAAGCGTACAAGTACGTGTGTGCCCTCGTTATATTGCTATGCATGCATATTGCCAATGAGGAGACAATATGACTCGATCGTTTCGTAAAACCACGGTTTCAACGCACGCAAGAATAAAAGCAAGTTCAACTTCTGGCTAGCCTATGTGTAACAATATTCATCAACAAACAGTTATTCCACTCTTGTCACTATAAATATGTACGAAGTATTTAGGAAGCTGGCAGAGAGAAAAGAAAAAAAAAACACAAGAAGCTGTCTTGTGTGTTTGATCGCATGCTATTCACAGCGAGCTATTGCCGTTGCTTCATTCTGGCATTTAGTAACAGGTCAAATGAAATACGTATAGCACAAAGGTTATTAGGAATAAATTAGTGAACACTTACTTTCATTGAAATCAACTTTTAGCTTTGCCCCCCCCCCCCCCTTTTTTTTTTCGAATCGCCGTAATATTCATGTGTGCTTGCTCTGCACTCACTCACGTTCGAAAGGCGCGTTCAGCACGCGCTCGACACGTCGCTGCAACGAATGCATACACGCGCTTTTGTAG